CTATCCATAAAGACATTTTACCGTTTTTTTTCTACAGCCTTTAATTGACTATTTTATTCACTTAAGTTATTTAATTGTTTGCTACAGCAGGACAAACATGGCCATTTTTGAAGTAGAAAAACAGCCATTATTGGCAATCAAATATTAAAAACAATAAATAATAGGTATAGGTACTGCCTTTACTCCTTTCACTAAGAGTCCTTTTATTTGAAGGTTCTAATATCTTGGGAGGCATTTGTGTTGCTTTTTCCCCCTATGCTAAAGCCTCTATGTGTATGCATGCAACACAAATCCTTAGTGATATGTCATTCAAATGATGCCTAATGAACACACAAGCACTTTTAAAAGCAATAAGAAAAAAAAACAGAAAGCAATAAGAACATGTTATGCAAAAAAGTGATTAGCATACACAAAGACCTTAACTTTCAATAGGTGTGTATTCCAAAACTAGTGGTAAAACTTTGAGCTCTGTTTGTATGAGTGGAAGGGAAAGAAGAGTTCAGCCAAATTAAATGTTGAGGCATTTCAACTTTGAGAACTCAGCAGGTACACACCATGGAACAGCAACAATGGATTTAACAGAGAGTAATTACCGCCATTAAAGAGGATGCCTTTGTTACTGTTATAAATAGAAAGTAGGCACTCCTATTTTCCAGTGTGTCTTAAGTGATAGGACAAGATGGGAATGTTATGTTAAATTACTTCATTTCCTCAAGATGTCATGTTATAAACACTACAAAATGTTTCAGAACTCTGTGTATATCTTTGTCCTCGGAATATTGAAATCTTTCTCTTGAAAACAAATAACCTTGCTAAGTAAAAAGCTAATGACTGACCCTTAAGAGACAACCAAGTATAATCCCCTTATTTAAAGATGTAAACAAAAAAGAAGGGCCAGAGAGGATTAGCAAGTTGACCTGCATTAAATAGCCAGAGTTTAGGGCAAAACCCACTTCTCTTGGCTTCCATTATAGTGCTTTTCCCTATATAAGGATTTTTGTAAAAATATTTTTAACAATTAGGATTATTTCTTTTATTTTCTCCCTCCTAAGCAATAATAGTTCCTCAAACAGGTTTTCTTTCTGCAATCCTTTGAAGATGATTTAGCAATGTTTGAATTTGCATGTGTAATATTCCATTTATTTGCATCACAACCTTGCCCACTGCTACTTAAATATATTTTTTGTTTCATGCAGCCCAATGTCTGCAAATCAGTGATGCCAGTCATCACTAAATACCTGAAATGTGTTGGTTAAAAGTCTTAATGATCTGGCATGCAGGTGAGGCGGAGTGAAAATAGACTCTGTACATTGCTGCCATTATACTAACTACAAAATAGAAATAAATGTCATTTATTCAAACCCTACATTAAATGGTGTAAACAGAGTAACTTAAGCAGCACTAAGCAATTTACATAACTTCTTAGGAGTACTTATGTCCTCAAGTATCAAGCATCACAGTTGTCAGGTAGTATATAGTTCATATTTTGATTTCGATTAATGTAGATTATAGCAGTTTCAATCACATTCTTCAGTATTTGATTTTAAGATTAATACACTCTCTACCTGGCTTAAACTGTTTATTCAACAGATAATTGCTAAGCACTTTGCTTATCTGTGGCTTTCAGAGAGCTGGTGTCCTATGGCTTTCAATTTAGCTTTCAATTTACTTATATGTTTCAATTTATTTTATACAGTTTGTACATCATCACACAGATTACCATTCAAAGAAAGTATCCTAAACGAAAATATACATGAGCTTTATTAGTCACTGGTTCTGTAAGTCTGGACAAGTTACTTAGGTTTCAGATTTTTCATCCACACAGTGTTAGTGCTTTCATCATTAAATTACAATGACTAATACAGGAGGAAGCAAAACCATAAGAAACCCATATAAACACAAAGTATTGAAGAACATTAAGCTCCCAGTAAACATTAGGTATTTTTGCTTTCCAATAATCGCATTGAATGGAGGCTCATTAACACTTATGTATTGAAGTCTACACATCCAATACCATTTGAAAAAGTTTTTTTTCATTAAACTATTATTGATATGGCAGACATCTGACTGGACACTAGGAATATACTGAGGAATCAGCAGTAAATGAGATGGAAATAGTATTTGCCCTCTGGAGAAGAAAGTTTGGTGCTGAACAAGTAATTACAAAGCATGAACTATTTCAAAAGAGCAGCATAGCTGGATATGGAGCTAAATCCTCATCATGTGTAGAGAGAATTACTGAGAAAGGGAAGACTATTACTAATGAAGATGGGGCAGAACTAATAAATTTCCCTTTGGAAATGTTGAGTTTGTAATTCTGTGAGCTCTCCACATGTATGAACAGTTGAAAATGTGCATTTTAAGTTCAAAGGGGATATTTGGGTAGAGACTTAAGTCTCAGTGTTACTGCCATACCCTTACACTAAGACATATAATTTACATTAAGGAAGGGGATGGGATGGAAGAGATAAAGTGCTTAGATTGAGAAGAGAAGGGCACTAAGGAGAATGGAGACTTAGGTAACAATGTTGAAAAACTCCAACAGCTTCTGGTCATTTGAGAGGAATAGGAAACTTTGGAGAAAATGATGGAACAGTAAGAAGAAAACCAGGAAAATATGGAATCACGGAATTTGAGTGAGGTGCTCCAAAGGAAGGTGATCTAAATTGAAAGGTCTGAAGAGGTCAAGAAGGTAGTATATTTAAAAGAATCTAATGGATTTGATAATGTAGAGATTATGGGAGAGGTTTCAGAAAAGTTGTGAATGCAGAATCCAATGAAGTGTGTTCAGAAATGAGTAGATATGAGAACAGAGTTTAAAGAACTATCACTGAAGAGTATGAGAGAGAATCTGTAGTTGAAGGGAAATACAGCTAAAGGGGGGTCATTCTTGTTTCTTTTGGTTTAATGTTTGATAAACTAATTTCAGGAGTATATAACTTTTAAAGAGGGCAAAGTTGAAGAAACAAGAGGGGGAAATAATAAAGGCATTTACTCTCTCTGAATATTCCTATATTCTATTTTAGAGCATCTAAAGCAATCACTAGACCAACATAAAAGGATGCTGAAAATTAACAACACTTTAATTCCACATTTTGGGTGTTGTGACCATCTTTGACATAGGACCCTATGAAGTGAATCCTATAATTTCAACTAAAGAACACTGATTCCTCAAGATGTTCTATGATACAAGTTCTGTAATCAAATAAGTTTGGTATACATATGTACTATAACAACTTACTGGAAATTTACCAAGAGTATTTGTAAGCAAAGGCTCTGAAAATCCTATAGTTAAAACTTGGTATTCTGAATCTGACAGTTCTGCAAATTATTAGGCTATGATATCCTTTCATTCCATTGATATATCAATATTTTTTTCTGCAACATTTTTAAATATGATTCTAGGGTTTAGAATGAGTTCCACAAGGTTCTAGGATCATCTGAGGTCCCTAATGTTGATGAAGAAAGTCTGAGTAACTTGTTGAGGAGACATATATTTCACTTTCTATGCAACGTAATTCTAGAACTATCCAACATTAAGAGAATGAGCTATTCTAGAACCACCATAATTCCCAAGCTTTTCCAAATACATGATAGGGGAAAATAATTTCTTTAGGATGCCACTCATACCCACTGTGAATTATTTGAAACTTTTGGAAAATTATTAGACATCCCTTAAAATTTCTCTAGAACATGAGGTCTGAGCTAATTAGTATATTAATTTTACTTATTCATCCATTCAACAACATTTCAGGGACATATACTATGCGTTAGGTTCTGTTCTTGGTTTTAAGGATATAGAAATGAACAAAACAATAAAATCTCTGCCTTCATTTGCTTATAGCCTAATATAAAAGATATAAAGAACTGTGTACTATATAGGTAGCAATAAGTGCTATGAAGAAAAATCAAGGAGGTTAAGGGGCTAGAAAGTGATGAAAGAATGAAAGAAAGGGTGGTAGGGAAGGCATTCTTGAGTAGGTGGTATTTGGGAAGAGATGAAGATTTGGTAAGATTTCAGTGAAGTAGGAAGTGAGCCACAGGAAACACACGAAGAGATCAGCCATTCTCAAAAGCTCTGAAATGGGGGCTTGGAGAGTTCAAGGAATAGTAAGGAGCCCAGTGTGTCTTGAGGAAAGAGGGACAAAAGTGCAGGGGTAGTGGGGAAGCAGCAAATAAAATTAGAAAGGAAGACGTGCCTAAAAATGTAAAGCCTTGTGAGCCACAGTACGGAATTTGGAATTTTATTCTGAGTTTGATGGGAAATTACTGGAGTTGTGGGTTTTTTTTAATCTGGAAGATAATAGGTAGGAGTTTGATGTTCAATCAATTTGGCTGTATATAGAAGACTGTTCATAATGGCTGTTAATTTTGGTGTGATGTATTTCAAAAATTCAAATTTCATTGGTGGGCCCAATCCCTTAAACAATATCAATTTGGACTCTTTAATTATCATCAACCCTTTGATAACTGTAGAAGAACTTCAAGAATTGAATTTGCGGTATGTCTAATACGATATTATTTATGGTTAAAAAAATATATGTTGCGAGGTATTCTCAACTCAGGCTGCACATTTGAGACACCTGGGAGATTTTTAAAACTACCTTTGCAGACCGTGACACCTGGAGATTCAGACTCATTTTGTTTGGGTTGGGGTCCTGGTATCGATATTTTTTAAAAAGTACCCCACATGTTTACAATGTGCAGCCTGGTTTGAAAATCACTACCATCAACTTTACCTGTGCATGCAGTACACTAAAATATAAAAGGTCTTGAAAGACAAAACCAAACTGATAGGATGGCTTGCCCTTGGGAAAGCTAATAATAAATGATCAAAGAGGACTTCATGACATTTAAATGCTCATGGTGAGACTATATTCTTGATACCTCTACAAATAAAGTATATGTAAATTTAAAATGGTAACTATTTAAAAGAATGAAAGAGTATATAAGAGCTTGTTTTGTAAAGCTTACAAGGCATGTGATTTTTTTCCCTTTAGGGACAATACTGTTTGAGCAGCTGTTGTGCTGCATCATTTGTCCCAAATGGCACTTTAGTGTGGAAGGAGTCAAACAGGATGATGCCAGCAAAGTGATCGGATCATATTTCACTAATTTGCACTTTCCTATCACATCAAACTACTTGGGAAGAAGGATTTTAAAGTTCACCTTTTGTTGATGCAATAAAATAGGATCAAAGCCCTCGATTTGGGCCAGTTAAAGTTTGTGGCCTAGTGGTCATCTGATCAGTTTGGTTTGGCAATAAAATCCACTTGAAGAAAGATGAAGTAAGGTTTTTAGTCTCAACAGAGCCTCTCTTTAACAATACGAGCTATACCCTTAGTTCTTCATGCGAAGAGCAGATTTTTAGTAAAATGGTGACAGAAGCCTGTCATAGATTTCAAATAATAATAAATTGAATTATATCAGAAAGTCATCAGGTTCTTATTGGACATACTTCACTGGTATCCACCTGATTTTGCAGAAAATACGTTTGAGTTTGACTCTTCAATGCTTATTGTCTTCATTGATTTGGCAAATTTACCTCCAAGTTTTAGATTCGTCATTTGTAAGATGGAGAAAATATTGTGTCTATGTGACTACTCTTGTCAGGATTATGTAAAATATTACAAGTGCTAAATCTCATGTGAGTTGTTATAATAATATGCACTCAAAAGAGTTTGAGCAAGAAAGAGCATGAGATTTGGAGTCTGACAACCAAGATTTGGGCCCAGATTTCTTCTATTGATTGCTCTAGCATCATGGTCAATAACTGAATTAGTCTGAAATCCACATTCTAAATCAAAATTTTTTGTCATAAACCAGTTTTTGATTATTAGTTTAAGTAAACTGTGGACTACATTATTTACTCAAACTTTTACTTCCTTCTGCCCTTGTCACTTCCAAATATCCCATCAGGAGTAACACAATGCTTGCTTTTTCTTTTCTCCTTTACCTCTTTTTACTTTACTTCCTTCCCATCTCTTTTCCTAATGAAGTCTCAACTCTGCCCTATCGATTTGCCCCAAAGGCACGCAAGTGACAACACCTACAAGGATGTTCAAAAACTGGGTGGATCAAAATGTTTACCATTGCTGGGGTTCCCTGGTGGCACAGTGGTTGAGAATCCACCTGCCAGTGCAAGTGCAGGGGACACAGCTTTGAGTCCTGGTCCGGGAAGATCCCACATGTCACAGAGCAACTAAGCCCATGCACCACAACTTCTGAGGCCGTGTGCTGCAACTACTGAAGCCTGCTCACCTAGAGGCTGTGCTCTGCAACAGAAGAAGCCACCAACCGCAATGAGAAGCCCGCGCACCGCAACGAAGAGTAGCCCCCACTCACTGCAACTAGAGAAATCCCGCTTGCAGCAATGAAGACTCAACGCAGCCAAAAATAAAATAAATTAATTTTTTAAAAAGTTTACCATTGCTAATTTTTATGATTACAAAGAGGTACGTGATGGCAAATAATACTGTATATCAATACATTTTTTTAAACTATAATTTTAGAGTACTGAGTTTTAATTTCCGTTTTTACTCTAATTCTTACTTGGTATTTTTGTTTCCTGGAAAATATATGGCCATAATCAAAGGAAGACAATGTGTCTGACTAGATCAGGTTCATTACCCTTTGACACTAGCATTTTGGTTGTCTAGAAGCTCAGTGGACTCACACTAAAATATTGTTATCCCTTTTTGCATCACATTTAGAAGTCAGTGATATATACCAAAATATCCTAATTTCTCCATGTAATAGTTCACAGTTTTTGCAATGAAAAACTTTTCTGGACATGAGCCAGTCCTTATACGGAACTTGAGTTCTAATGTATCAACCTGAAAATATAGTGACTAGATGCTCAGTGAAATTAATACTGAATGAAATAAGAATCACCAAATTGAAATGCTCTATTGGAAAAAAAAGAATATGTGATCCCAAATAACAACGTATTTTTATACTTCTCACAAAAACAATGCTATAGGAAGACCAAAGACAACTTTATGCGATAACAAATACCCTGAAAGATGGCAGCATGACGCCTGAATTGGCTGAGGTAATAAAACAACTGTGGAGAGATCCAGGAATTCAGGCCTGCTTTGAAAGGGCATCTGAGTATCAGCTCAACGACTCAGCAGCTTAGCAAGTGAATGCATTTTGAAAGAATCTGTAGCTGAAACATTTACATTTAAGAATTGTAACTGTGTATGCTCTACGTTTGTAATCACAAATGATGAAAGTAAATGGCTTTACATTTTATCATACTAAAAAGCAAGTGAAGAGAAAGAAAAAAAGATCAAGATGATGTAAATAAGATGTAAAAAACATAACCACAGGAGCATTTTAAATAACTAATTTTGAACCTATATGTCTGAAAAGATATATATGTTGTAAATATTTTCTCCCAATTAAAAAGTTTTAATCCTTACACACTAAGTTCAACATGAACACAGACTGCTAACATGCACACTGAGGTATTGGGCTATTCACTTCATCTCTATCAAGTTACTAAAATTATCTTCTAAAATAACCTTATTAATGATACACGCTTTGGCTCCATTGGTTTGATGGGCATGATACAGCATTTTAGAAGAAAGTTATGTATTGATTTGAAAAACATTTGTATATTGTGGGATTCTTTTTGAGTCTCAAGCAAGATTATATAATTTTCACAACTTTTAGCCATAAGGAAATTAGGATGTTGTAACAATGTTTATAATTTCATTAACAAAATGATTTTAAATTTCCATTTTAGTAAGTGGTCCTTGACCTGTCCCATGGTTACATGCTTATAAGCATGTGTACACATGCATGTAAATATAATGTAAATACTTATTCTATATTTCTGTCCATGCATATGAATGTGTAAAAGGGTATAAATAGCAGTTCTTCTGAGGCTCCCAGCAGAACATGCTAGCAGTACTTTAAAAAACAGTTAAGTAAAAGTTAAACAAATGAAAGATTATTTGAGGACAGAACAGAAGACTTGCATGATGCTTCAGATTTTTAAGCATAATGAGTAGGAGGATTATGGAGAGAAAACAAACCATATAAATTCTAGGAAAACATAACAACAGTCTTCTGTGATTGCTCATTCGTTTTCATTTTAAATTCCAAAATCCAATGGACATATTGCCCTTGGAGGAAAGTCCTGCTCTTATCTCTCTGATGACCTATAGAATGGATATCATCCTGTGATTATATCAACAATGTTTTAATACTACGCTATAGTATAAAACATTGCTTTTTGATATGAATCATTGATAAAGGCAGTCACAATCAGAAACTGAATTATGTAATATTCTCATAAAATGTTGCTTAGCAATGTTCTGGGAAGAGAAGAAGGATAGTTCAACACTTGTAATTCATACATTTAGTTTCAGACACACATTACTGGTTAAACATTTTCCCTTAAAATAATGTAACTTGTATTTGCAATTATATTATCATTATGTTTACCAAATTCTTTGCTCTTTGATAACAAAAACATTTTACATATTGTGTACCCCAAATGGGCAAATAGAATGACATTTTATTGTTTTTCCTAGACTTTCTAATCTTTAATTTTAGCTTTTTTCTTTGTTTTGACACATAAAATATATTTTACACTGGGACTATCACATTTCAGATTCATATTAAAAGCAGTTGTCTGTTCTTCAAGTTTAACAAATCTACACAATATCTATTTGCATCCATTTTTGTGAACCTCACCAGTAATGTAATGATTTTTAACCACCCACATCGATTTGCAAAGAGCCGTAGAATAACAACAGGAAAAAGAAAGTTTTCATTTAAAATTTAAATGTTAACTTTCTTTTCCCTTAGGGATTCTTAAAGGGAAGATTAAGTAAAAGCTTGCTAAGAAAAACAGTTGAATGGCTAATTGCTTTCTTCCAAAAATTAACAGCCGATTTTTTTCTTTCAAATACTTAATTACATTCACGTTTTAAAACTAAATACACTCTCAGATTGATAACACATCCATTTTATTTCATATGCATTATATAGGGCAGGGGTCTTTCTTTTCCTTCTCCTCTCTTCCTTTCTACCTCCCTTCCTTCTTTTCCTTTCTTTCCTTCCTTCTGTCTATTTATTCATCCACCAGTCCGTCCATCCATCCATTTTTTTTTTTTGTGAAAGTGAGATATTTGTTATTCTCTCAAACCTAGCAACCCTTTAAGTTGAGGTCAGCAAAGAGGCGAGTCCTAATCAGAGAATGTTGTTTGTTGGCAACATAACACCTCTCCCCTAATCAGTACTAGCAAACTGAAAGAAAACGGTCATGAGAGTGGGAAAAATTTTAATTAATACTTCATGGTTTGCTGATTGGGCTGTCCAGTGTGTGACTTAAACTCTACGTTTTAAGATTCAACATGGACTTTACTAGGAGAATACTATTTTTATATGATTAGAAAAAGAATCAGATATTTTTTAAGTGATTTGAGCTGTATGTATTCAGGGTCTCTGGTTTAAGTTTTAGACCACAGGCTTGAGCACCCAAATTCTATATTTGTTTATTAAAATGAACATCTTAAATGCAAATTTGTCACTCTGCTACTGCTTCTGCTTTGCTTGAGATCATTTATGCATGCAAATAAAAGTACATTAAAATGTGTCTTTACCAAAGCATTCATTCAGCTATCATTAAAATGAATTTAATCTCTATCATGGCAGGTATGTTTTTGTTTGGTTCCGTTTGGTTTGGTTTTTGCTCCTGCATGAGCTGACCAGTAGTATACTACCACATATGCAGCCTGAGTTAACAGGAAATTCACCAAGGACCTGGCTTCAAAAATCGAAAATAGATAAACTAGAACATTTTTCCAATACTTTCTTCTGATATTTCTATCTTGACTTGTCTTTTTTAATAAAATTAAACTTTATTAGAATAAAACATGGTGATAAATTTTCACATTATACATATATGTGTTTCTGAAGTGTGATTGTCTATTGGTCCTTGGCCAAAATCCCTTTGAGGCACTTGGCAATTCTTAGTTTATTTCAGCTTAAAATCAGAAAGTTCCTCCAAGAATAAATTATCTATATTACTGTTGAATTTATTAAAAAAATAAAGTAGCGTTGGCTTTCAAGGCATTGTGCTAGGCGCTAACGCATAACAGTTCCTCAGCTTATTCCCTGAAAATGTCAACTGTTGAGTAATAACTAATATTCAGTTAGATTATACCTCTCAAATTCTGTCTAGATGGATACATGCCCATTATGATCTTCCTATTTAGGTTATATGTATAAACTTGGTTCAATATAATGGGCAATTTTGTCATAAAAACCTTACCAGGCTATTGCTATCTCTATTTAACAATTTTATAGAAATAGCCATATTGCTAAGCTCCTAAAGCCTTAGTATCAAAAGTGTATAATAAGTGATTTTCAACTGTTTTTAAAGCAGTGATACAGTTTGTTTTAGTCCAAAGACATGATCTGGTTGGAAGGATGAAGCTAAGAACAGTTGTTTCCTCTAATCTAACAGACTCTTCCAGACCACATAGCTTAATCAGATTCACTCCTGCCTCTCACCACCTGTGAGAGATCCTGTGGGCAGAAGGAGGGCAGTATTTCTCCTGGTAACAGTAGGGTTTTTAAATATGGCCTCCGGTGAAGAGTGAAGGACACACTGAGGCACTGATAGAAGCAAAGAAGAGGTTGGAGAGGATACAGTGTGGAAATTCAGCTTTCTATCCCCAGGAGTGTGATTTGGGAGTGGGTCAGCAATTTCATGAACTAGTTCCAGCATGAACCAGCAAGAAAGTCAAAAGTTTCTTCTGTTACTGAGCTAACCAGATATAGTCATGGTTCTTAATGAAAACTATTCTGATTCTTAAACTAAACAATCCAGGAGAAACAACACAACCACCATCAAATTATGATATTAAAACCAGTCTCTCTCTTAAAATTTGAAGTGTCTACATACAAGCAACAGCCTTTTGAGACTATTCTAGTGACCATCATTACAAGGTAGCATTTTGGGGGTTGATCTAAGTCCTATAAGGAAAGCTTTCTTGTCAAATGTCTATTCAGACACCAGTGAATCCATCACATCATCCTTATAAAATACAAGCTAAGGCAGCATTCATCCAGTTGCCTTTAAAAAAAAAGGTCCCACAGGTCAGCTGTGTGTCACACTCAGTGCTCTGCAACATCCCAGCCACCATGTTCTTGCAATTCTAAGGAGCAGCGTTGGAAAAGCACCAGTCTGGAGTTTCATAATTTTAATGGGCTCTAAACTAAAAATTCATTTGTACTCAATACTGATATCTTCTAGTACAAAGTTAAAATTATATATGCTATTTTGTTTGTTTTTCTTATTAGCTACCTGAACGATTTGGACAGAAGAGCAGCTCCTGGCTACGTCCCAAATGATCAAGATGTTCCACATTCTCGAGTGAAAACAACTAGAATCACTGAAACTCAATTCTCCTTTTAAAGACTTGCATTTCAGGTATGATCCAATGTCTCTTTGAACTCTCAACAGAAATATGCATCAGACACAATATTTCTTCATGGAGAAGAGCTCTAACCCATGGTCAAGTGCAGTGAGTCCTTGGGCATGCTCACTAGGCCTCAGGTACTTTCAGTACCACTGTCTTTCATTGCCCTCCTGTAGCTTTACATGCCAACCCTCACCCTGAGCCTCATCCTTTCCCTCCAGTAAAAATGCCTCTTTCGGGCATTCCGGATGGCACAGTGGTTGGGAGACCGCCTGCCGACGCAGGGGACACGGGTTCACGCCCTGGTCCGGGAAGATCCCACATGCCACGGAGCGCTGCAAGGACTGGCCTCTTCTTATCGTTAAGCTTCCAAATCAAAGGCTGTCTCCTCATGGAGCCTTGACCATCCTATCTACTAACCATCCCTTAATATCCCTGCCACTACTATACCCTGCGGAGTGTGGGTAAGCACATAAGAACAAGCTCTCAGGAGTGGGGGGAGGGAGGGCAGCCTGATTTTTGGCCCTTGATGAGTCCCCCGGTGCAAACACCCTGACAATAGCCAATTTCAACCTACCAACATGATGTCACTAAATGTAGAGTTGGGAAGAAATACGAACAGTTCTTTCTACCCTCGCCAATGTGAGTCAGTACCATTACACAACTGATAATATCACACTATTTTTCTCTTTTTAAACATACCAATATATGAAATTGCCTTGTTTCTTTATCAGTTTGTTCTTTTTGATTCTGTTTCTGCGTCACGTGCTCTGAGCTCCAGAAGGCCAGGGGCCATATTTGCTTACAACTCTATTTCCTGTGATTATCACACTGACTAACCCAGAGCAGGCACACAGTCAATCCTGGCTGGAGGAATAAATGTACTATGCCAGGCACCTATGAATACTACCTTCACACCCTTACTGTAACACGATGAATGGGCATTGCTATCCTTATGTAGGACAAACGGTCAAGAAATGGAGGCTAAAACAAAGTAAAAGGTTTCCCCAAGATCATACACAGAAGTGCTAGAAATGTGATTAAAATGCATATCTTCCTAACTTCAAATATCATACTTCTTACACTGCTTATCACTGATGGGCTATAAGGTAAATTGGGCTGGAAACCATTCTTTTTCTGTACAGTAAGTGCTTCCTCCAGTGTTGTTGGTCATTCACAATTCCCTTCAAAGAGAAGAGGGAAGGGGGAATAAAAGGACAGTCTATTGGGGAGGTATCTTCCAGTTGTCAGGGCTCTATGGTACTTCACCACTCTGTGCTTCTAAAACGAGGCTAGATGCGACGATTGCCAATGAACACACAAAACCTCAGAAAATCATATTCATTTCCTGAAACATCAACTTCACTCAGTACCAAGTAGTATCATATTCACACATTTTTTAAAATAATTTTTTGAATATTATACAGCATTTGCATTAGGATGCTAGACTTTCGTTAGTGTATCATAATTTTCCTGTCCTTTTATAAGTCTTCGGTTAATTTTGTAAAGCATTTTAAGTTGTATAAGTGATCTATTCTACTTTCATATATCACCGGCCCTTATGAAGGAATGAGAAAGGTCTTGCTAATTCTCTATTACAGTATTGATGCTAAAATGTAAGATGCTCGTGAATTGGATTGTGAAGCTCAGTTAAGACTTATTTTGACATAACATTTTCTATACTATGCAACTATTACCTCTTTCGCACCCACTAAAACAGGTTTTGAGCTCTTTTGTTTTTTTAATAGGTTTTGCTTTCTCTCTGGCTTAAGAGGGTGTGTTATTAAAGGCACTGTCTATGAGGAAGAGAATGTGGAGAATTTCTCTAAAAACAAATATTTAAACAATAAAATTTTGAAAATACTTAAATTTTACTATAAAACAAAAAACACAGCTACACATACTTTTAAGGAACTATTTTAATCATTTAAATATATTTTTAAGTTTAGTCAGAGCAACTGAGACATATTAATCCCTTAATAAATTCTCACAGCTAAATCACTTTTTTTCAAGTGCTAAATAGGATTATCCTAAAGCACATAGGCTTTTGTAACATTTCATAGTATTTCAAAATAGGAATTGTAAAAAATAAGGTACCTTCCAACTTAGTTTCAGTAAGTGCCCAGGTACTCACATTAGCATTAATTTGTATTCACATAGCATAAATCATCCTAAGACTATTTAAAACTAAAGACTTAATTTACATATTAAATTCAAGAACTATAGAATTTTAAACAGGAACATCAAAATGACAAAATTCTCTCTGTCCAAGTACTGTATCATCCTCATGTATCACCTAACTTAATGCAAATTTCCTTAGAGCTCTTATCAAACCAGAACTCCAACTGTCAAACTGGTAAAATTAATTCTCCTTACAGAAGTTACTAAGTAAACAGAAAATGCAATGCAAACGTCAGCCCTTTTATTGCTATAAAATCATTCCGCAGGGCAAAGAACTTACATATTTACAAGGATTTATCAGTCATAGAGAAGTCCTTTCTTCCTAATTGCTTTATGATTAAAAATTAGAACTGAAAGGACATAAAACTATACGGAAGCTAGGGAAAAGAGGTCAGCAACCATTACAACATAGAGCTTTAGATTTTGTACCTGTTATATAACTATTTGCAACAGTGTTTAGTGGATCCATGATATGAAATAAATCATAATTGTTTTGAATTTAAAGTTGAGTCATGTGCACTATGTTCACTTCTGTGAGAGTATGAGACAGCTTAGCAGTGAGTCTGGTTGTATACACAGCAGCTATATCCCAACTTAGCTTTGTTATTCTCTATTAGATCTCACAGATCAGTAACTCATGTATATAACTATACCTTTGTTTCAGGTATGTTCATGGTTAATGTTACCAAAATTATAAGCTATATAAGATGATGTCTAATTTATTCTCATAATAGAATTTACTTTGATGACTTTAAAAATTATATTATTCAATAATCAGAGAATTATCTAGTGGGCATTTTAAGTTACACACACACATTTAGTAGGAAATATATGATGGTATTAACAATTACAGGAGTCTAGAGACCAAGCTTCCCTTGTGGTTGTAAATCCTTTTGATTCTGTTTTTAATAAAAAGCAATTAAGGCATTTAGAATGACCTCTGTGCATATGCTTTTTATCTGCAAGCATCTGCCCTAATCTATTTTCAGAACTGGGTACCAGGGAAAGACTTGGTTAAGCCATTTTGCTGTGGCTGTGTAGTGGTGACACAGATCTACCTGTTGGCCCTGACATACGTAGCCACCTTAGGATTTTATACCTAGACTTATTGTGCTGATCAATTTATAATGCATATAAATGTCGAATCACTGTGCTGTACACCTGAAATAATATAATTTTATATGTCAACTATACTTCAATAAAAAAATTAAAAAGTTATACCACTGCTGACATAGTCAAATATGTTGAATAAATCCCATTCAACAGAATAGTTTAAAATAAATTTCTACTCAGATTAGATCCTATTTTTCTGTGCTCAAATATATAAATGATGTCAGAAATTGTTATTTTTCCAAGAGAGGCACATGCTTATAGGATGAGCAAAGACATCTCACAAATAAATTAGCTGCAGTAACATTATTAATTTTTAGGTATCCTAGACTATTCAATGAGTTTGCAAACACTATAAAGGGCATATTATTCCATAATAGTCTATTCTGATATGAAATGTAAATAATCTTGTGTGGCCAAATATTTAGCCAACTGTTTAACATAAACTAATAAAACTTAATAACTTTCCCAACTGTTTAAAATGGACTATAAAACTCAACTGTTTAGTCAACTGTTTAATATAAATCCATAAAACTCTGATGGCTTGCAATATATAAATATCATGGGCAGTTTAACAAATAATTGATGTTCACTTGTCGCTTAAAAGCCTAGCCTGTGAATTTTCAGTTACATCATTCATTTCAGGCATTTAAACACGTTTTCTTTACTATTTAAGAATCCTTACTTAAATATCAGGCTTAAAGAAACATGTATTACATACATACATATATAAATAAGTAAATAAATAAATAAAACCTTTCCAAAATGAGAATTCCAAGTTCCATTTAAAGTCTCTAAAGCTCTAGCTGTCTTAACTATTCAGGCAATTAAGGTTATTCAAGCTATATCACATATCCATTCACCTCATCAATTATCCCAGTAGATTTGACCAATCCAGATATTCAGTCAACAAGTATACAGGTTTTCCTCTGATTTCTATTACTGTTTTTCTCAGAATAGTTATGATGGAGTGTATATTTACATTTCTTCCATGCTCCACTTTGGGAATCTCCAAAATTTTTCAGTGGTTATAATGCCTTACACCTCTAAAATAAGCCCCAAATTAAAATTTAGATGAAGAGCTAAACATGAAAAGAGAAGTATAAAAAACAAATTACTACAACAGCAGCAAGACAAAATGTAAACTTTCTTAGAGCTAACGTAATATCCAGGAGAATCAATATAAAAGCAAAACTCCAGCCACTGGTCTGATTTGCTAATGAGCATTTCAGTTCAATAGCAGATGGCATTAGAGAATCGGTCAATGCTCCCTGGACCTATGTCCTAACGTCAATCTGCACAGAAAAAGGGAAAAAAAAACTATCAAGTGAGTCATAAAATGAGAGGATTATTAGCATGCAATCTAAGACTTTCAGAAGCCGTTTTACCAACATGAATAAAACCCAAAGACTGAGTAATCTTTGTCCTCCCTTCCTTAGGAGAGAGCTAAGCATATTTAAACATGTTTATTAGAGGCTGTAAGATGTGTTGAGAGAACAGTGGGCTAAAGGTCATATTACATAACTTATACCCCTTACCAACTGTGTATATTTGACTGAAGAGGAGAATAGCTATCTCTTACACACAGGTGTTAATATCAACAGCAGGCTACAGAGAAGCTGAATTATCAAACTGAGGAGATAGCCAGATGGTCCATTTAAAGAATGCAACAAAACCACTGGGAAGGAGAAAGTTTTCAAGTTTTGCCCAGTCACCTGTTCAATAACACAAAGAGTTACTGTCTGACCTGGGGAAAGAAGACTCCCCAACAAAGATAATTCCAATCTACTTGGTCAGGGTTTGAGAGCTAACAGTAGGCACTATGTAGTACTAGTTAGACACCTCTAGTCTAATTAAGTAGACTTAACAAACTTCACAACAAAGCTTAACAACGTTCATAGCGTCACTATCATACGCAAAGAACCAATCACGGCGCCTGGTACAGAGCAGCCTCAAATATCAGTTGAATTAATAAACCTCGGGCAAGTTGCTTAAAGGGCTCATGAAAAAACAGGAATAATAATTGTACCTATCTTATAAATTTAGGGTGAAGTTTTTTTTTGTTTTTGTTTTTGTTTTGCGGTACGCGGGCCTCTCACTGTTGTGGCCTCTCGCGTTAAGGAGCACAGGCTCCGGACGCGCAGGGTCAGCGGCCATGGCTCACGGGCCCAGCCGCTCCGCGGCATGTGGGATCTTCCCGGACTGGGGAACGAACCCGTATCCCCTGCATCATTGGCAAGCGGATTCTCAACCACTGCACCACCTGGGAAGCCCTAGGGTGAAGTTTAAATAATTGTTGGCTAAAAGTTTAAAAGTCTGAACACATATTTATTATCCTTGCTTCCATAAGAATGCTTACTGAATTTTAAAAATTAAATTTGTTGGCTAATTTTTACATAATATAACCTAAAGTCAATACCGTCCTCTTCCTCCACTTTTATCACAAGTCTGAAACTGCAGAGGATTTGGTAATTAGCAGCACTTATAATAGTCTTTACTGTCACTGAATTTAAATTTCCAAACCACACAACGATTGAATTCCTAAAGGTTGTTTTTAATATTGTGAGCAACTGCTCTTTCAATCTACTATTAAATGGAGTGATTTTGCATTGGTACATATATATATTTGAGGGATTTTAGTTCTATATATCTGTTCTGCACTTGGTTATGCGAAAGGTAAAGTACTAGCACTACAATGTGTTGTACTTTTGATTATCTTCAGTAAATCAGCTGGTTGACATTTAATACCCCAATATAGTTATTACCTTTGAAATCTCTGTACAGCTAGGATGTTCCCTGGTACTTAATATCTTAGGATTAAGCTATTATGAAAGCCGCATAATTTTTCCTTTGCCTCTGGTCTCTTTCTCATCAAATCTATCTTCTGAACTCAGATCAAAGTGACTTACCATACCAATAAGCAAACAAAAAGAAGCAAAGGTTAATTCCCTACCCCCAAATCTCCTATAGATCCCCACTGACTACAATATAAAAACTAATCTTCTCATGTAATGTAAAAGACACAGTAAATCTATTTCTGGCCGAACACCTCAGGCTTACTCCTGCCTGCTCAAAACTTTTGCTCTTGCTGCCTCTATTCTTTTTATACAACTATCATCTTCTGCAGTTTCTGATCACTCCATTTTAAATTACAACCCACCCTCTACACTTCCTATCAGATACTGATATCCTAAGTGCACTCACACACCCACACGCAAACACACACACACATAAACACCACCATCATCCACTTACAAGGTTCTCGAGACTGAATCATCTCTGGTACCTGAAATATAATAAATGCTCAATAAACAAATATTTGCTGAATAAATGAATAAGTATTAGGCCATATACCTCAATGTTTTTACCTTAATCTTCACATTTCCAAAAATATAATTATTTGCCCCAAGCATGCCATGTTCTCTCATTTCTTGATGACTTATACATGCACTTAATGTAAAACTCTTCCCTCCATTCCATTAACATGGATTCTATTCATTTATTTGCAAGTATTTATTGCATGTCTATTATGTGTCAGGCACAGTGCCTGGTACTGGGTATATAGGCATCACTAATATAGATAAGGTCCCTGCCCTCATGAGGCTACTATTCTATTAGGGTGATGATAGCTATTAAACATGTGAAAAAATAAACCACTTATTTATTGATTGTGGCAGTTACTATAAAAGAAATAAAGAGAGTGATACAATAGAAAGGAAATTGGCAATGGAAAGAGTTAAGAATTTACATGGACATTCAAGGTGGTTACTTGTGAAGGAGATATTGACATTAAGACCTGAAAGTTAAGAAAGAAGCAGCCTTATGGAAGGAAGAAAGGAACTGTGTCACGTGGAAAGGAGATGGATTACGCAAAAGTCCTGAGATAGCAAAAAGTTAGATTTATATTAAAGGAGTTGTTACATGGTCCCTCAGGCTGATTTAAATCTTCCTCTGGGCTCACATTTTACCTTATATATTAGAATATTACATAATATTATAATAATGTATTTTTCTCTTTACAAGACAGCAAGCTCTTTGAAGAAAGTGACCAGTTCTTTTTTTTTTAAGTGGGAAAGGCAATTTTTGTAACAATTCAAAATTCAGAAGCCATAAAGGAGAAAAGAACATTTATAAATAAAATTACATAAAAATAAAAGTATACGGAAAAAACCACCATACACAATAGCAAGTGACAACAAACAGGGAATACATAGATAAATTGTGAAAACATGGACAAAAAGTTAATTCCCTTATTTTATGTTAGGAAAAGTCAAAGAACCTTACAGAAAGGAGTTCAAATGATGTTGTAAGCTTTTAACACTTGAGACAAATGCTGTATTTACTCAATCATTAAAGCAACCTCACAATATAGTTACTGTTATTATCATTTATTCATCAGGAACCTAAGGTGCAGAGAGGTTAAGTAACTTGCCCAAGGTTACCCAGCTTATAGGGGACAGAGTGACCATGTCCTTTTATCCTTGTGTCAGTAGGCCTAGCACCGTGTCTAGTACATAGAACACAAATGATAATTGAGTGAATGAATAGAGGTAAGAGGAGCTAAGAGAAGAGGGAAGAATCATAGTATCAGAACTATGGTAGCTTCCAATCTTCTTGTGGGCTCTGGGTATTTAAGAATATGTATAGACTTTGATCAAAATCCCTAAAACCAATAGATGCCTTACTAAAACTCTAAACTGCTGTAAATTTTCCAATTGCTCAAAGTCAGTATGTGAATTATTTTGCTCCAGGCTGCATGAGTACCAAAAAATAAATAAATGTTCTCTTTTTCTCTACTCCATGAGCTGCAACTTGGCCAAACAAGTCTTACTTTATAATCAGTAAAAACTGAAAGACTACCTTTTAAACAGAGGGAGCATTCAGTTATAAGTCCAAATGTTCATCTTAGTGTAAATTTTGGAGGATATTTGTATGATTCTTTATTCTGTTAGTTTTGTTTTTTTAAAGAATGTTTGATGTAGGTGGACAGAGATCTGAGAGAAAGAAATGGATCCACTACTTGAAGGAGTTACATGAATTATATTTTGTGCTGCACTCAGTGCCTATGACATGGTCTTGGTGGAAGATGAAGATGAAGTGGTAAGTCTAAAAGGAAAACACAGTCAAGGTAAAAAATAAGCAGTTGTGCTTTCCAATATGAATACCCCATTTCCCAACTCAGTTAAGACCTTCCAAAGATAGATGTTTCTTCTACAACCTTGTTCATAATGCCAACCATTAATATCTTGCAAATAACAATCCTACACATTTTCATCTTTTATACCTAACAGAACAGAATGCATGAAAGCCTTCACCTGTTCAACAGTATCTGTAATCACAAGTACTTTGCAACCACCTCCATTGCCCTGTTTCTCAATAAAAAAGATCTCTTTCAAGAAAAAGTAACCAAAGTGCATCTTGGTATCTGCTTTCCAGAGTACACTGGTACGATACTTTTCTTTTCATTCCACAGTAGTAAAATTTTGTATAGAGATACATTTTTTCTATCTGGATTTTGATGTGTAATATTTAGGAGGTTGAGGCTTATGATACTTTTCTGAGTCATGTATATGATCCAACCTGGGAAGAATCTTACAAATAAAGAGGAAACCCTCTCTACACTGCCTGCATTAAAGCAAAGCTCTAATGAATAAAGAAGAGGTGGTTAGATAGACCAGGGTTGTTACTCTGTGTAATGTATAATGACATTGCAAATTATATTATCTTAAACATTATAATAGGAGTGTAAATTATATTCCAAATTGGCATTTTTTTAATATATTTCCTAATGAAACCTTGTAATGTTGTACTAGACCTCAGTGGCTCTTCAAAGTCAGAATTAAGTTTCTGGAGGAATAGCTTGAATGAATGAGAAGAGTGACATCTATTGTTCCAATTTTCCTAGCTCCTAGGGTTTTAGTACTGACCCTCTTAGCCAATGAATATAAATGTCAGTTTCTCTAAAAGGGTTGTTTCTTTTGGAGACTTTTTTTTTTTTTTTTGGTAAATAGTTATATGCCCTGTTAATGAAATTGTGTAAGATGGAAATATTTATGATTTAAACACAAATATAAACCCAATTTCACCACTTAGATATGTGGGTAGCCCAGATGTGCCAGGGGTGTTGAATTGTGTCAAAGTAGCTGTTTGTGCTCATCTATAATGAGTACTTATATTTTTCTTATTTGTAAACATTATGTTTACATATTTATCATATGATTGAATATAATCATGCTTCTGTACTGAAAGTTACCAATTAAATATAGAATCATAATTCAGGGCTGTATGTTTTCTTTTAAGTAATCATCTTTATTTTTCAGAGCAATTTTTAGTTTATGAAAAAAATAAACAGAAAAAAGTTTCTACATACCCCCCATCTGGCCAGCTCCCACCATTTCCCCTATTATAAACATCTGGAAGGGGTGTGGTACATTTGCTACAACTGATGAACAGATATTGATACATTATTAACTGAAGTCCCTATTTCAGGTTAGGGTTAACTCTTTGTGTTCCACAGTTCAATGGGTTATGCCAAAGTCATGTCAATGTACCCACCATTACAGCGTTATACAAAATAGTTTCACTGCCATAAAAAATGCCTGTGATCCACGTCTTTGCTGCCCTCAACCCTTGAAACCATTATCTTTTTACTGTTTCTGTAGTTTTGCCCTTCTGAGAATGTCAAAGAGCTGAAATCATACAATAAGTGCCTCTCACTTTTTGGCTTTCATTCACACAGTTTTTCGTCTCTCCTAGCTATCCCTCAAGGTCCAGCTCAAATAACACCTCATTATGTAGTCCACTCATCTATAATTTCCATTCTTTTCTTCTTTTAGTTCATATTAATACCCATGCACACAACCCATGCACACATTTACATGCATAATCTTTGACATACATACGGGCTTTTTTACTTACTCACTTTGTTATATAAATATATTAGTGTTTCTACTCTACTGTGAGCTTTCTGACGCCGAGGTTACATTTTAGCCACCTGAAGCCACGAGGGAGGTAAGCATAGTTCCCAGCACAAAGTAGATGTTGTGTAAACCTCTGATAATTAACCATTGCCATTTTGATTTTTCAATCCTGAGAACATCAAATAGCAAAGGAAATTCCTAAAACATTGATATTACTTATAATTTGATGCTTTTTAAATGCAGTTAAAGTTTACTTCTTTAATTTTTTTTAACAAGGTCCAAATACATTTGAAGATGCAAGGAACTACATCAAGAACCAGTTTCTAGACCTGAATTTTAAAAAAGATAAGGAAATTTATTCCCACATGACCTGTGGTACAGATACTCAAAATGTCAAGTTCGTGTTTGATGCCATTACAGATGTAATAAAGAGAATCTGAAAGACTGTGGGCTCTTCTAATCAATCCTTTTTTCTTCCACTCTTGCTGATGTATACTTTTCAACATATAAAAGGTGCTGTGTGTTTAGTTTTAATAGATATTAACTTGTATAACTAGTGTTGTAAGGCAAAATTTTTCATACAAAAATTTTAATGTATTGTCACCTGCATGTGAATGAGTTTTGATTTCTCTGAGATATTGAGGACTGGGGTGTCTTTGATGTCCTCAGTTCTGAAAACTGATACATTTTGGTAACACTATAACTGTACATATCAGTGACACTGAATTTGCTTGGAAGTAAATTCTGCACTGTGGCCTATTTTTAATGACAGAGCAATGGAAAAAAAAAAGCAAGGTATTCCATATTACTTCCACTGGCCAGACTTTGAGAGGCATTCATTTTTGCTGATAATGTAACCATGCCTGTAACTGTAGAAACTATTCAAAGATGATACGTGTGGTGTTTTACTGGTGTTTATTTTATTGAATACTCCTATTCAGCCACCTGCAAATGCAATGTTCACCATACATGTATCTGTTGATGGAAATTTCATATGCAAAAGAAATGCATCCAATTTTTATTTGCTACTTTTCCTTAGAAAAAAATCATTAATGCTGAATTTACCTTTAGAATTGAGGATTTCAATGATATATTTTTGTACCAATCTGACTGAAAACAGGGGACCACCTGTGGTCAAGAACACAGTGTAAGGCTGCTCAGGCTGAACAAAGTCCTCAGTGGAGTACTCGTTTCCTACATTTTATTCCAGAGCAGCATGGAACATTATTGTAATTGATGGTTTGGGGACAATAAATTGAGACCTCAAGAGAAAAAAATAATTCAATGTCTTAGCACTAGTGTGTTTTAGCTTTGTGAATAAGAAGTAGGAAGTAAGAGTGAGTAATTAGGAGACTTTTTTAAAAAAGAAACATTGAACTTCTTGTTAGTAGTGTATTGTGCTGTCTAAACGTTACACCAGATGCTAGTGGTCAAGGCCTACTCTTTAAAAGCTAATTTGGTGCTTTACAAACAAAATCATTATTTATAAACAGAAAAGATGACTTTTTCTTTTTTAAAGTGTGCTCTATTTACAACGTATACTTGTTAAGCATGTGTGATATCATTTACTCTCTCCACTTGCAGAAGGTGATATATAGATCAGAATAGGAGATGAGTGCTTAAGATCTATAACTTCTTTGAAAAGAGAGCTAATTAGGTTAGTGTAACTAGATGAGATGAAAGGAACATAAATTAAACAATTTGCGAATCTGTAGCTCAGGCGGATTTAGGTAGCCCTGTCTCAGTGTCACTGCTTCACTGTTCTGTAACACATTTCCATTCTAATCATGCAAGAATGATCATTATTCGATCAGTAACCTTGACTAGAGTGTTTCTGGCTTTATTTTCAAAAACACAAGGAGTTATTAACAAATACAGTCAAATAAAAACATTACTATAGTAAGAACAATTAATTTGAAATTTCTTTGCAAAATATAAGTTATTAAGGAGCCTAAGATACCAAAGACAAAAAGTGTATGAGAAAATATTTAGTTCAGGTATTCAGTAAATTTTTCTGGCTAAGACCCATTATCTATAGGACAACAACCCAACATTTTGCTAGGAGCTAGTCAATGCTTTGAGACCTTAAATTAAGATTAGAAATTCTGTCCTTTCATCCATTGCTTTGTTTTTGTTTTCCTGCTTTGCTTTAATCTGTTTTTCTCTAACAGTGTGAAAAGAATGTTCCAGAAAAGAATATTTTTTGAAATACTACTATTATAACTTAGATTTTGACTCTGACTTACCTTTAGGGTTCCTCTTTTAGATAACATAGGTGGAAATGGTGAGGTCAGAAATGGTTTTTTAAAAATACATAACTCATTTCAATCTTTGCAAAAATTAACAGGCATCAGTATGTATTTATGAATATTGTTCTCTGAGAAATTTAAACAATATTAAATTACCAAACTAAACTTAGATATCAGTTTGGATTATTTATTTTAAAAAAACCTGTTCAATTCCTTCCAATCCTAGAATTGAACTTTAAAAAACTTTTCTTCACAATCAAAAATAGTTGCTATGCTAAACGACAACTTTAAGAGAAATTTTTAGTTGGAAAATATAAAATAAATGTTTCCATTATTTCTTTAATGATTGCACTCCTTAAAAATTGACTCTATTTCTGATTTTACTTTTTAAATGTTTTAATAAAAAAGGGGTTGGAGTGGATACACAGCATTTTCCCAGGGCCCTACCTCTACACTCAGAGACACCCTCTGAGACCCCCTCCAACGAGCTGGGCCTAAACCCCACCCACACACCCTCACTCAGGGCCCTACCTCCAAACTCTGGAACCCCACACTCCAGAGGCCCTCCTTTCCCCTTCTGCGCAGGCCCTAAGCAGAGGCCCCACCCCGTGCTTGCACGTGGCCCCGCACTATGCTCAAACATCACACCCCCAACCCGCCTAGGTCCCACCACACATTAAACCCAGCTCCTGCCTAAGTTACACTGCCCCCCGCCCCCATAGTCAAGGTTTTTTTCTTTTATCCTCTTTTAGATTGGCGGTCTGTTTTACTTTGCTGATTCATTGTTGCTGATTTTTTTATATTTTTATTTTCCCTAACAAATATTTTTCTAATTTTATTTTATTCTGTATACTTTGTTAGTGATCTCTCCTTTTGGCTTGCTCTCTCCCCACCCTTTTTTTCTTTTCTTTTTTCTGTCGTAGTTTTATTTGACCTTGCTGCAGTTGTTTCAAATATAGTTTTATTTTTCCTAATATATTCTTTAGCTTTCTATTTTTTGTTTTTTATTCTTTGATACTGTACTGTTCTTTTTTTTTTTTTTTTTTTTTTTTCTTCACTGTGCCACAAAGTTTGACGGATCTTGGTTCCCAGGCCATAGGTCAGGCCCAAGCTCCTGTGGTGGGAACTCTGAGTCCAAACCACAGGACTAACAAAAACTCAGACCCCAGGGAATATCAATCAGAGTGAGGCCTCCCAGAGGTCCTCATCTCAGCACCAAGGACCCAGCTCTATCCAACTGCCTGCAAACTCCAGTGCTACATATCTCAGGCCAAACAACCAGTAAGACAGAAATACAGCACCACACATCAAAATAAATAAATAAATAAATAAAACGACAAAAAAATTTGTTACAGATGAAGGAGCAAGGTAAAAACCTACAAGACCAAAAAAATGAAGATGAAATAGGCAAAATACCTGAAAAAGAATTCAGAGTAATGACAGTAAAGATGATCCAAAATATTAGAAAGAGAATGCAGAAAATACAAGAAACATTTAACAAGGATCTACAAGAACTAAAGAGCAAACCAACAGTGATGAACAATACAATTACTGAAATTAAAAATACTCTGGAAGGAATCAATAGCAGAATAACTGAGGCAGAAGAACAGATAAGTGACCTGGAAGATAAAATGTTGGAAATAACTGCCAGGGAGCAGAATAAAGAAAAAAGAATGAAAAGAATTAAAGACAGTCTCAGAGACCTCTGGGACAACATTAAACACACCAATATTCGAATTATAGGGTTCCCAGAAGAAGAAGAGAAAAAGAAATGGTCTGAGAAAATATTTGAAGAGATTATAGTTGAAAACCTCCCTAACATGGGAAAGGAAATAGTTAATCAAGTCCAGGAAGGATAGAGAGTACCATACAGGATAAACCCAAAGAGAAACACACCAAGACACATATTAATCAAACTGTCAAAAATTAAATACAAAAAAAAAAAATTAAAAGCAGCAAGAGAAAAGCAACAAATAACATACAAGGGAATCCCCGTAAGGTTAACAGCTGATTTTTCAGCAGAAACTCTGCAAGCTAGAAGGGAGTGGCAGGACATATTTAAAGTGATGAGAGGGAAAAACTTAAAACCAAGATTACTCTACCCAGCAAGGATCTTATTCAGATTTGACAGAGAAATTAAAACCTTTACAGACAAGCAAAAGCTAAGAGAATTCAGCACCACCAAACCAGCTTTACAACAAACGCTAAAGGAACTTCTCTAGGCAGGAAACACAAGGGAAGGAAAAGACCTACAATAACAAACCCAAAACAATTAAGAAAATGGTAATAGGAACATACATATAAATATCTACCTTAAATGTAAATGGCTGAATGGCTACAAAAACAAGACCTATACATATGCCATCTACAAGAGAACCACTTCAGACCTAGGGACACATACAGACTGAAAGTGAGGGGATGGAAAAAGATATTCCATGCAAATGGAAATCAAAAGAAAGCTGGAGTAGCAATACTCGTATCAGACAAAATAGACTTTAAAATAGAGACTATTACAAGAGACAAAGAAGGACACTATATAATGACGAAGGGATCAATCCAAGAAGAAGACATGACAATTTTAAATATGCACCCAACACAGGAGCACCTCAATACATAAGGCAAATGCTAACAGCGACAAAAGGGGGAATCGACAGTAACACAATCATAGTAGGGAACTTGAACACCCACTTTCACCAATAGACAGATCATCCAAAATGAAAATAAATAAGGAAACACAAGCTTTAAATGACACATTAAACAAGATGGACTTAATTGATATTTATAGAACAGAATACACTTTCCTCTCAAATGCTCATGGAACATTCTACAGGATAGACCATATCTTTGGTCACAAATCAAGCCTCGGTAAGTTTAACAAAATTTAAATCATATCAAGTATCTTTTCCGACCACAACACTGTGAGACTAGGTATCAATTACAGGAAAAAACTGTACAAAACACAAACACATGGAGGCTAAACAATACACTACTTAATAGCTAAGAGATCACTGAATAAATCAAAGAGGAAATCAAAAATAACCTAGAAACAAATGACAATGAAAACACGACGACCCAAAACCTATAGGATGCAGCAAGAGCAGTTCTAAAAGGGAAGTTAATAGCAATACAATCCTACCTCAAGAAACAAGAAACATCTCAAATAAACAAGCTAACCTTACACCTAAAGCAATCAGAGAAAGAACAAAATAAC